GGTTTTGGGTGCTTGGCTGGCCTTGCGCTAACACAACCCCACAGCATGCTCCACTCGTAGGCTATTGAACGAATTCTTTAGGACCTGCTTACATTTTTCCCTTCTAAACACTTCTGCCCCTTTGCTTTAAGAACAAATATAAATGGCAACATACTGTGTGTTAACAGAAGGCTCTGGCTTTTACAACAAGAAGAGGGTTTTGCAATGCTTGCCACTGCAAAAAGATGAGCTGCACATCCTAGATATTAAATCTAGCAATCAACCCAGTAGAACTGTGATAGAGATGTTATGGCATTCAAGTTTACTAATGCAATAAATAAAAGTAATGTGTATTTAATAACCACATGACTGATTCTTCATTTGCTTGGGTTTTTGCACACCAGTAATCAACACTAATTTCTATTGGCTTAAATAAGAGAACAGGGTCCCACAGAGTTACACTGCTGTAAGATACTCATGTAAATGAGAACAAGTATTAAGCTCTGCAAGAATCTAAATCTCTACCCACTCCACCCTGTGAGCCTCTCTGGAGCAACAGGGGATTAGCTACATTCATTTTAAATGAACGTCATTTATCTCAAGTATTTAACCAGGAAATCCCACAGAGATGAGCCTCATTTTCTGGCAGATGCTTTGCAGTATCTTGTAATATTTTTTTTGTTTATTTGCTTTAAGCATGACCTGGTCTTTGCCTTAACCTATCTCACTGGGGTCTTGGAAGAAAAAAAAAAAAAAAAAAAAACCACAACAAAACATGCCCCAAGCGTATGCCAAACCAATTCTTTAGCATTTCATCCTCAAAGAAATGTTAAGAAGTTACTTCTGATCAAAACAAACAAACAAACAAACAAAAAACGGTCTTTTGGAGAAAATGCCCATGTCACAAATGCAGTGTAAACACCACAAATACCACAGCTGGACACAAGGACAATTACACACCAGCAAGAGTTTTTGTTCAATACATAGAGGAGACCATGAACAGGAACTGCGACAGCAACGAGCGCTAGGTTTGAACACTCCTCAACCCTGCCGGGATTCTTCTGGGTCAGAATTGAAGTCCCAGCTTTATACATTATCTGTCCAAGCACCACTCTGACCACCGTGGGATTATGCCATAGCCTGCGTACGCTTTGCCTACACAACTGCAAATTCCCCAGGCGTTGGGGCTACACTTGAATTAGCAATGCAGTCTCTTTTGTGCTGCTGCCCTTTGCCTACACCTACTCACCTTTTATTCCAGAGCAGAGGGACACAGACCCCAGCTTTTGCTTCACCCTGCAGTGCATGGGCAGAAACATTGAAATAACCTCAACTCATGGAATCACAGGATCATTCAGGTTGGAGAACACCTCTAAGATCATCTAGTTGAACATTTAACCAAGAATTAAGTCCATCACTAAACCATGCTACTAAATTCCAAACCCACACGTTTCTCAAAGATCTCCAAGGACAGTGACTCAACTGCTTTGCTGGGCAGCCTGTTCCAATGCCACGCAACCCTTTCAGTAAAGAAATTTCTCCTAATTCCAGCTTGTTCATCATCAGGGCAGCTCAAAGGTTTGCACAACACCCCTGAAATCCCCACAGTGGCTGTGTGCTCCACTGACCCTGCCATGCGAGAGTGCTGATTGTGTGCGTAGGGCACTGGACAAGGGCTTCACAAACCAGCTTCTTTCCACAGCTTCTTTTTTAATGCTATCTCCAGAACGTACAACTGAGAGCAAAGCAGGGTAGCCTATAAATTCTGTTACATAGGGGTGCCACAGCAGGTGGCAGACACTGCAGCAACACGACCATCACCAGCAGCAATGGGGACACCACCTCCGGTGATCAGAGGACACTTCTGAGGTCAGCAAAGCGAGGAAGCCACCCTGAACACCCCTGTCCCTGTCAGCCTCTCCAGCTGGGGCTTGGGCTGGAGCCTCCTTCCCTGCAGCTACTCGACTAGATGTTCACGAGCCCCCTGGAGCTGGCTGCTTGACCCTTCTGGCTCAGAAAAAGGGAAAAATTGGTTCCGCTCCCAAGGTGAGAAGCCAAGTAAGCCACTTGCATTGCTAAGTCACAGATGCACAGCAGAGAATGCTGTTGTGCCTCCACACAGAGCCACACCTTCCACACTTTAGGAACACGGCTGTTCGGCAGGAACTGGCAGGTGAAACCATGCGAAACAAATAAGGCCACTGGCTGGGCTAATCCTGCATTTAGTATGAGCTACTTTTCCTCTTCGGATCACTACATGCCCACCTTTTGGAGCAAGTGCAATGTTCCAATGAGGCAAGAAAAAGGCAAATTGTTTAAGAACACCTGGCTCTCACAAAAACATCCCACATGAAAATCTGGGAGCACACCTTTTGCCTTTTTTAGGTCTGTTTAAACACAACCTAGTGACAAGCAAATCCCTTGTCCTCTGAAGATCACACCTGGTCCAACCACCCTGCTGAGCAGCGTCACCTAGAGCACCTTGCGCAGGATGGCATCCAGGTGGGTTTTGAGTATCTCCAGAGAAGGAGACTGCACAACCTCTCTGGGCAGCCTGTCCCAGTGCTCTGTCACCCTCCCAGTAAAGATGTGCCCCCTCATATTGAGCCAGAACCTCCTGTGCTTCAGTTTGTGCCCATTGCCTCTCACCCTGTCCCTGGGCACAACTGAAAAGAGACCGGCTCCATCCTCTTGAGACCCTCCCCTCAGATATTTATAAACATTGATGAGGTCTCTCCTCAGTCTCCTCTTTTCCAGGCTAAACAGGCCCAGTTCTCTCAGGCAGTCCTCATACGACAGGTGCTCCAGTCCTCTGATCATCTTTGTAACCCTCCTTTGGGCTCGCTCCAGTAGTTCTGTTCCATTTAGATCAAAGTGTCCTGCTCGCTAATCTAATTAAGTAGAATTAAACAGCATGCACTTTTTTTAAAAAAAACAAAACCCAGCAAGACTGCTAACTTACATCAGTGCACAAAAACTCCCAAATCCACCCAACAACAACTCATGGCCAGCAGGCACCACAAGCACACACCTTCCTTCCTAGTCCTGTGACCCCCCAAGTCTCCCTGCAGCCTGATGTGGGGCTGGTTCCTGAGTGAGGCCAAAGCCTCAGCTACCCCACCATGCTGTGTGGCTTCTGTGAAGTGCCATGCAGCCCCTCTCTACCTCAGTTAATACTTCTGCAAACAGGGTGAAGCGCTCACTATACATCCTTTTCTTGGAGTAAAGTCATCGCTGCTTGAGAACTGAGAAGCACCCTGAAGTGCCCAGTTCAAAGACGTTTTTGATGGAAGCAGCTTGGGCAGGAGCCTCGCCCAGCTGGGTAAACACCACGAGTCAATCCCTGACCACCTCAGAGGGCTTCTAAACTACTTCCCCAACAGTCCAGGCCATGATTTTGCTAGGGAGGAGTTGCTGGGAGCGCTGAGAACCACAGCTGTGAGGCTGAATCCTTCCCCAGGCAAAGGGAACTGCAGCCTTGGAGGAGACAGATGTTTGCCCTGGAGAGCGCTCAGGGGAATCTGCACTTAGAAACATTGATTAACTTACACCTGTTTCATTTTTACTAATTAAAGCCTCTACATGACAGAGCAGTCTAAGTAGCACGTACAGCCTCACCCTCCACACTTGGCATGCACTCATCTGTCTTCCTCCCTGCTGCAAGGAAGGATCTTGTACCATCAGGCTGCAGGGAGACAGGGAGGAGATGCAAGGTGGAAGGGTGCCACAGGAGCAGCTCTTCTGCCAGGTTTTACTTTACTTATAAAACAGCCTGACATGCATTGTAAAACTGAAGGTTTCCTCCCCCCCCCAAACCATACTCAACATCTTAGTTTGTATCAAGCTATCAACTTCAGCAGCGCATTCAAAGACAAAAAGAACTCCCAATACTGATAATATCTTAGAATAATTGAAAGTCTTGGGCTGGAAGGGACCTTAAAGGTCATCCAATTCCAACCCTCCTGTCATAGGCAAGGATGCCACCCACCAGATCAGGTTGCCCAAAGCCCCATCCAGCCCGGCCTTTAGCACTTCCAGGGCTGGGGCATCCACAACTTCTCTGGGCAGCCTGTGCCACTGCCTCACCACCCTCTGAGTGAAGAATTTCTTCCTAATGTCTAATCAAATCTGTCCTCTTTTAGCTTAAGACCACCCCCCTTGTCCTATCATTATCCATGCAAGGAAAGAGTTCTTCTCCATCCTTTTTGTAAGACCCCTTCAGGTTTTGTTTCACAAGGAAATTGCAGCAAACTTTTTTCTTCAAAGCAGCAGTAAATAAAGGTTTTACAAAGGGAAGAAAAATGAAAAAAGGAAAAAGAAAGGAAAGTGCAGAAGTAATAGAACTGTAAATATGCAGACCTGAGGTAGATGTGCTGATCTGCAGGGGGAGCTGCTGGAAGAAAATGCTGATAATGACTCCTTACAGAACACATTGTGATTTTTATTACTTTTTTTTTTTTTTTTTTACATTCTCTGTATACTAAATTGATTAATCCGAAGATAAAGCACCTCCTGCCCTACTGTATCTCACATGCTCCTGTTAGTTGCTCTTCCAGTCCCGAGGACAGTATTTCCTCCTGTTTTGCACGGCCTGATGAATACTACATCAGTAAGTCACACATTATCGCCTTTCCCCCGGCAGAATTTGAGACCACAGTGGGAAGAATAATGCCACACACTACCAGCTTGTCCTAGAACATTCTGCTTAAAATGTTGGCTGACATAAAAGAAACAAGTTTAAAACTATTTATCTGTCCCTGCTTTCATGAGAAATACAAAAAAGCCCAGAGGGTTATGATTCTGTTGGGCAGAAATTGATGTCAGCTGCCACAAAGCTGGTCTCGCTTAACACTGAAGACTACGCTGAACACACGTATGAGGCATTTGAAACCTGTCTGCCTGATGTTAAAAGCAAGAGATGTGTTCCTTATATATCAGTGAAACCTTTGGAAGAAGGAAACTTTAACACTGTTTACGTGGGAAACAGGGACGAAAAGGTAAAATACTGATGTGCAACTCACCTTGACCTCAATGAAGTCTGGTTTACCCAGGGATACCAGGTCAGCATAGGCTCTGAGTTCATCCACGTTCCAAGCTTTCACCAGTGTCAGTCTATAGACTGTACGCTGTTGCTGTAAAAAAAAAAAAAAAAAAAAAAAAAAAAAAAATTAGCAATCGACACTGACACATGGACAATGTTCCAGCCTTCCACACAGCTTCAAATAGGAAAAAAAACGCATTAGTTTATTCCATGAAACCACAGGGTAAGACAAAGTAGACCCAAACCAGGAGCCACCTCACTTGTTCTTTAAAGGAAGCTCCACATCTTTGAGCTGAGCCACCTTTTGCTCTACAAAGCCCCATCTCCTCTCTATAAAACACAGGCACTTCATTTTCACAGGAGCTTTTACTTATTTGGAAAATAACCAGGAAGTTTCTCACTTTAATTTGCTTCCCCAGGCTTAAAATCTCACCATTTGTTGCTCTATAGCTATTTTATTTCCTCCAGCTGGATCACCTGGCCCTGGTCACTTTTGGACAGACTGAACAAGGACAGACAGAGCATTGCCTGCCCCTGTCCAATAACTCTTCCACCACATTAGGTACAACATCGCAGAGAAAAGGCTTTCGGGTGATCAGTTATACAGAACATTTTATTGGAAGCACACAGTGACGGTTAAAAATCACAGCCAGGAAACAGTGCAAATACCTTACTTACGAGCTACTGTTAAAAGTGTGGCACAAACCGCTATGGACAACCTCAGTACCTGCAGCACTCACGGATCCAAGAGCAGCACCCACCCCTCACTGCCCTCCGCATCCCCGACAGACCTTGTCCCCCCATTCCCATGCCGCAGATGAGCCCGCTGAGTGCTGCAGGCAGCTCACGCTGCAGCAGGATGCCCAGGCTGGATTTATCCCCGTGCACTGCTCCAGGCAGCACTCTGAGAACTTCTCTCCTTGGAGCTACTCAGATGCTTCCTCCAAGGGCTGCTCTCTGCAGCAGTTACTGGCGACAAAAGGACTTAGGCTTCCTTAATCACTTGGCCATGGGATGGATCCAGTCTCCCTGCCTACATCTGCCCCTTTCTCCCCTCTCCTTCCCTTCATCTTCCACTAACTTCTAGAGGTAGGTGAAATACAGCATTGTGGACAAACTTGTGGTTAGATGTTCTGGATTAACTCACTGCACTCAGCACATCGGCTGCACGATGTGACAAAGGCCACTGCGCACCAATGCCAGGACTTCACAGCACAGCAAGGGCTGGAGTCAGGTTCTCCTGCTCCACCAAGTCCAGACTTTCATCACTTGAATTAAGAGATTTTCCCTTACCTATTAACATCTCTGTGGCATAAGGTTACCCCAATTTCAATGCCACTTGTGGTACGCTATTCAGTTTATTCCATTTTTTCCCCAACACAGAACAATGAGGTAATACGGATATCTGCTGCTGAACTGAACTTTTCATCACCAAACCTCAGACCGTTATGCACTGCAATGCCCTTGCAGCATCCTACTGAGTAGGGCAAAGCCAGGACTGGGGCCAGGACACTGAGTTCAAAGCTCTGTTTTAGGAGTTCACCCTATCACCCTTCCCCAGATAAAATGGAAGTTTCCCACTGTCTATCCCAGCCACATTTTACTTCTGCAGGTCCCTCTGGCCTACAAGCAATATAAGTGAACTTTGCCCTCTATGTAAGAATCAAATCATCACTGTCCTAAAACAACATACAAGTGTTTTCCATGGAGGAAAAAAATAAACCAATATTCTACACCAGTTTACTATGGAAGTGTTCCAGATTATTAACAAGTAACTAGAGCACAAACAAAAAAAAGGAGCATCTCCTTCCTCCAGCTAACAGCAGAGAAGAACAAGGGGCGAGTCTTTAGGGTGCTGGGGTATGTGCAGGGAACTAAAAGCCAATGCACACAAAAGCACATCCAACACACTCGGTGCCTGCTGCCTGTCATCTCAAGAGCCTAAGCACCAGGTAAACCTGCTACACTCTCCAGTGATAAGTGTAAGAGAAGACTTAATTCCTACAAGGATTCAACAGTGTTTGAGAAAATAATTCTATAGTGCAGCATCTTTATTACAGAAGTTTGTGGAAGAGTAACTTCAATTAAAGAACAATTGAGTGAATGATTACTGAAGGTCAATTATTCTGTGAATTGAAATACTTTACACATTGCTTATAAACTGTTTTACGCATAGCGTATAAATACATATTTAGAAATGAGAGACTGCAAAATAAATGCATCATTTAGCAGGGAAATAAGAAACCAGAGGGAAGATATCTAACAGGAGGAAAAATGCTGATACGTGCGTGCCTGTCAATCGTCTGAAGTGATTAGATACCCAATTAATCAGGAAATGTCTCCCCAAAGGTCAGCCCAGTGGTAAACAAATGCAGGCAGCTTTAAGGCAACAGTAAATAAAGTCATGTTTTTAATACCAGCCCTCAAAGCCTGCTGATACAGACCCATCCTACAGGGCCAGTCCTCAGAGATCAGCAGATCAGGTCCCTGGTGCAATCAGCAGTTGGGGGTCCAACACAAAGTGAAGCCTTTAGTGTTTTTTTGTTTTTGTTTTTTTTTCTTCTTTTTTTTTCTTTTCCCCAATAGGATATTTTTGTGCTAAAATTAAGAGCAGATTTCCGGAAGTCTCTGTTGTGCACAGAAAGCGTAAGTTGGCAATGAGCACGCGGCAACTGAGACAAATCCATCCTGTTTAAACCAGCAAGGGTAGCACCGCCACTGCTGGCTGAATAATCCGCATCATTGGAGGCTATAAAACAGAAAAAAACTTAACAGGGAGAAATAAAATACAGGAAATCCACATGTGGGAGGTGGGATGAAAGTCTTACAAAATCCACTTGATCTTCGCGCAGCAGACACTATTTAGGGAATTTGAAGATATCATGCTTGTAACAGAATACTGGACTGGGCAGAAACCGGTTTCAAGTGCCGGATTGGAAAATATCAGCGCATGCATGGAGAGCTCCAGTAGACTAATGAGAGACATTTATAGCTAAAGTGTGAAGCAGAACAACTGCTTCGTATCACCTCTGCCAAGCAAGGAGGGCACGACCTGCTGGCAGATGAAGCACTGGCAGTTCAGGAGGGCATCAATACCCTAGAAGACACGTGACAAACCTAAGTCATTTCTGCACTGCCATGCTGCTTGGAGCAAGCTTAGAAAATACCCAAGTGTTCTCCCCACATTCCATTTCTTTAAGAGATCTTCAAAAGGAGAGAAGACATTTCCTGCTGCAAAGGCTGCAGAGGACCACTCACAGCAAGAGGTGAGCAGTGATCCCAGCTGGCAGCAAAAACTGAGGTGACTGCAGGAAGGTGGCTCTGGGAATGCCGTGCTGCCATTTCAGGGGACCACTGTGATTTTTGGCACGGGGGGAAAACTGGTTCCCTTTCCATACCTGGGGGCAGAGGAACGTGCCAGAAGTACCCACGTCCCCTAGGAGACCACGCTGGAGGGGGCTGCCTGCAGCTCAGGAGCGAGCTGAGCATGTTCACTGCCAAAATACAGCAGAAGCAATGCATTTAAAAAAAAAAAAAAAAACTCAAGTCTTTCCTGGTGAAATGTGTGTGAAATCAGATTGCAAAGATTAACAAACATCCCAACCAACGGTGCAGCGGCTGGGGCAGGCAGGGGGGGGCACAGGGGCTGCAGGACGAGCATGCTCCGCCTCGTGTCACCGCTGTGGGGAGGCTGCCAAGGGAGAGCTGCCCAAGGCGCGTGGCCAGCAACTGGCTGCTTGTGGCGAGGAGCAGGGGAACAGGCGTGCCGGCAGCCGTGACCAAAACCCAACCGTACTAGCACGAATTTTGCAGTAATACAAACATTCGCAAAAAATCCTGGGCTGAGAGAGGACAAGCACGTGCAGCGAGCTGCCAGCCTCCCTCCCCGTCCTCCTGTGTCTGAGGCCCAGTCACTTGTTGTCTTGCAAGCCAGGATGAGAGGGGACAGCTCTCAGCACCTCGGCGCTGCAAAGGCTGGTGTTGAAGTCAGACCATCTTATTTTCTCTATCTCATCTCAAGAATAGGTTTTAGGGGCTAACCCCTAATCCCCGTGCTTTGCTCTCAACTCTAGCAGTTTGTTCCCTCTCTGACTTCAAAACTGGGCTGAGGCATGCAAACACTTTTCCCACAAATGTGTTTTTTTGTTTTTTTTTTTTTACACTCATTCTACAGAGGGAGTAAACCTAAATGACACAAAAAGTGGTTTGAAGCTCCCGCTGTACACACCATGGGGGTGTCAGATACAGCAAAAGCGGTTTGGTGGAGAGGATGAAATGCTATTGATTTACTTTCACCGCAGCATTTTCTAATGTACATCAAGTAAAATACTTCAGCATGCTATTTTCTTGGAGCAATGAAGGCCACCACAAAGAGCTGTTTCTCCCATTTGAACCTCAGTTTTAATACTCACAAAGAGATGCCCTCCATCATTTGAGGAGTCTAACTGTAAAGTTCAAGTACTTCATAAAACCAAAACCGCTGCAGTAAGAGGGCTCATTCCCCGAGAGGCAGCACTAACCAACAGTTAATAATTGCAGTCCCTGTCTGCTATCCCTCACTTCTACAGCTGATGCATCACAAACTGTTAATTAATCATTACTGGTAGCGAGGGAAGCCGGTGAAGAGAACTAAACTGCTGGAGGTATACCAAAAAAAGTTGGATAAATCAGACGTTAGCGCTGTGGCTGAAGAAATCTCTTTCCAGTGAGGAACATCTCTCACGTGCCATCCGAGCAGGGAAGAGCCTCTTTAAAGACGTGGTACAAATGCCAGATCAGAATGGCTGCGGGGCTAATGGTGCAAAGTGTTAGGTACAATCCTCACAGACTGCTGGCAGTACAAATACACAACCCTGTTTTATTAATGTATTATTTGTATTTGCTTGTACAATAGGGCCCCAGGAGGTTCTCTTAAGCGCTGAAAAACAAGAAATAAGAGCTTAAGCCCTGAGAATTTAATGATCTAAAACATCAGGATATAAAAACAGACTGCAATGCTTTACGCCCCACGTTTCCAGGAAAAGCAACCATTATTTCACTTCAGACAGCCATCAGAATAACATTAGTGTAAAAGAAAAAGTTAATATTGTA